AACAGAGCATTAGGGAAAGGTGTCTCCCTAACTCGTTTTTTGTTTGGTTGAGTAAAATGGATGGTAGAAAAGATGAATGGTGTAACACTTTTTTTTTTTTGGTTTGGTTGGAAAGATGGAAAAAAGAGCTTTTATATTATTTTTACCAATATACCCTCATTATATTAAATTATAAAAGGTAGATATCCATTTCAATTTTTTTTGGAAGGTTAAAATTGTAAATTATATATTTGTAGGTAGTTATCCATTCTCTCTCCTCCCTTCCTCCAAAATTGGGCTGATAGAAAAACATGAAGGAAGCTCCTTCTCTTCCTTTCCCTCTAACCAAGCACGAAAAGATTCATTTATCCCTCATTTTATCCATCTCCGTCAATCCTTCCCTCCAACCAAACATAACGTAAAAGTTAAAGGCTTTCTGAAAAGGACATAAATAGGTCATTTTCTCTACTTAGCAACTCCATGCATTAAAATTTGTACAGGACTGAAGTAATACATGTGTGTGTATATATAATATATATATATTATATTTTTTCGAAGGGAGGCGATATCAACACTCCACTTTTCTATCTTTGCACTCCATTTTAAAATAAATGGTAATTCTAACTCTAACTTTACAAGTAAATGATTATTATTTTCAAATCATACAACTACCCTTTCAGATTTTAGCTTTGTCTTTAATGTTTTATGTCTCTTTGACAAGACCAAAAAAAATGAAAAAAAATTCTCTATTAAATAATTTTTTTGATTTTTTTTTTCCAGGACCAAAAAAATTATTTTTGTTGAATAAATTGCCTTTTTTGACCAGACAAAAAATAAAAATAAAAAAAAAACCCCAAAAAAGATATTTATTGAACAATTATATCTTTTATCAATATCCAAAACATAAGGGGGTACGAAAAAAAAAAGGATCCAAAAAAATTTATCTCTTTTTATAAGACAATTTTTTTTTTTTTAATCTCTATAAAATAAATTATCTATTTTGACATAACCTATACAAAAAATAAATATAAATAAATAAATAAATAAAGAAGAAGTAAAAACGGTAAAAAGAAAAATAAGGAAGTTAAAGTTGTATAAATAGTAGTTGTGGTATTATAAAGTAAGGGATGGTGCATTAATGAGTTTATAGACCTTCTTCTCATTTTCTTTAAAAGAAAAAAAGTAAGTGGAGTATAATTAGAGAAAAATAGAATGTCCTCCTTTTCAAATATTGCTTTGACAAACAATTAGTTGTTATTTTTATTATAAAAATAATAATAAATACTCTATTATCAAACACATTTATTTGGCAAATTATACTTGATGATCTTAGCCATATACAAGTTAGGTCTTTTCTGAAGAATGACATCCCTCAGATTTAATAAAGTTAACAAATACACCTCAACTGACACATCTAATACATAATGAATTGATATTATTGCCAACTTATACATTGACCTATTTGAAAAATAAAATTAACTTTTGAAGCCAAATAATGTTTATTAAAAAAAATATCACACACGTAAATATACCATTACCTTCAAACATCCAAATCTTCAATATATAATTTAGGGGTGCAACTTGGGTTAGATAACCCGAACCTAACCCTAGCCCAACCCGATTTTTTACGGGTTTGGTATCATTTTACAATTAGGGTTGGGCTTGGGTTGAAAAAGCTCAACCCGAATTTAATTAGGGTTGGGCTTGGATTGAGGTACTAGCAACCCGAACCGACTCGAGCCCGAATTCTAATATTATTTTCATATATATTTTTACTTTTAAATACATTATATATAATATTTAAATTATGATTACTTTTTTTCTTTTCAACTTCTTTTGTTAAATTTTAACTTATTGTACGTTAACATTTAAGAGCAATAATTTTCAAAAAATTGATTTGCAATTTATTAAGAATTTACAAAAAAGTCTTTGAACTTTTTATTGTTTAAGAGTAATTTTATCTAAAATTAATTCAAGATCATATTAAAATTTCGGTGCAAGGATTAGCTATATGAGTAATCCGAATTAATCTAAAGTTTTTACCCGGAATCTAAGCCTGAGTTGCAAGCCCGAATTTAAAAGTAGAAAGATGGATTGGGCTTTGGTTGAGTATTTAAGGTTGAAGAAAGAGTTAGGGTTGGACTTGGGTTTAGCATTTCATATGGTGGGTTGGGCTCAAGTTATACTTCAAACCCGCCGAACCTACCAATTCGCTCGAGTTGCAGCCCTAATATATATACCAGACGACTTTGGCGATGGCTGCGATAGGGGCGCAAACAACACCTACAACCTTCGCCCCTAAGCGTGAGATCCGATTTTGTGTGTCCAAATTAATTCCCTACCCGATTCGGCGGCTATATCCAAGGGTTCAACGGAGACGACTTTTTTGGGGGTGATGGCGGCAATAGTAGTCACTAGTGAGGGCTAGGGAGTTAGTGGTGGGTTTAAGGGAGAGGGCGTGAATCTAGGGTTTGATTTTATGTATATATGTGATTGCAATCGGGGTGCTTAAGTATTGATTTAGAAAAGGTAAGTTGAAGAATTGGGGGTGTGTAATATGTGTATTGACACACACACACACGCTGAGGCTGCAACTTGGGCCTTTTGCCTAAGCCCAGCCCGAGCCTGCCTAGAGCCCAATCCCAGCCACCCAAGCCCAGCCCATAAGCCCATGCCTCTGTATTCAAAATGTAAAAAATAGGAAATCTTGTGCAGTTACAAGAACTCGAACAACATTCCTCCAAGAAAAATCTCAAACACACTACCAACCAAGCTATTATACACTTGTGGAATAACATAGTTTTAAAATAAATATACCTTTTCCAGGCTCGGGCTGGGCTCAGGCTTTATATAATATCAACCCAAGCCCAAATAGAATTTAATTCGGGCTCAGAATATCTAGCTCAAGCCCAAACCTAGAATAGAAAAACACTGCCTAAGCCCTGAAAATTTCGGGCTGGGCTTGGGTAAATTCTGGCTGGCCCAACCCGAGTTGCAGCCCTACACACGTATATAGACCCAAGCCAACTGACCTTCCATTTTCTAGGTAGGGAATGTGAAGTAAAGAAAGTGTGATTTTGAAAAGGTAAGTTGTATTAATATATATTAAGGGTGGCAAAATGGGTCAGAAACCATCAACCCGCGCATATCCGCCTGCTTTTTAATGGTTATGGGTAAACCATATTTTAGATGGGTCAAAAATGGGTTGAGTAATTTTTAACCACTTAATTTGAGGGTCAAGATGGGTTAGATATGGTTACCCACATTCAACCTATATTTCACTATCACATAATAGACACACAACACACATCTATTCTATATTACACTCAACCCATTTCTCTCTCTCACGAAGGGCTGCAAGTTGGGCCGGCTAACCCAGCCCAAATTTTAGGTGGGTTGTGCGGGTTTCATGGGTCTTTTTTTTTTTAATAACAAATATACAAATTACATTTTCCTCTTCTATGTTTGTAAACATCAAATTTTTTAAGAAAATTTGATTTTTTAAACATCAAAATTTTGGGTGGGTCGGTCGGGTTTCGCGGGTAAAAATTTATTTATTTATTTTTCAAATATGCAAATTACATTTTCTTTTTCCATATTTGTAAACATCAAAATTTTTAAGAAAATTTTATTTTTAAAATCAATATTTTGGACGGGTTGATCGGGTTTCATGGGTCAAATTTTTTTTTTTTTAATTTTTTTAATTTTTTTTTATTATTATTTTTTTACAAATAAACAAATTACGTTTTCCTTTTCCATGTTTGTAAACATCAAATTTTTTAAGAAAATTTTATTTTTAAAACATCAAAAATTTGGCCAGGTCGGTTGGGTTTCACGGGTCAAAATTTATTTTATATTATTTTTTCAAATATGCAAATTACATTTTCTTTTTCTATGTTTGTAAATATCAAAATTTTGGATGGGTTGGTCAGGTTTCACCGGACAATTTTTTTTTTTTTTTTTTTTTTTTTTTTTTTTTTTTTTTTTTTCAAATATGCAAATTACATTTTCTTTTTCCATGTTTGTAAATATCAATATTTTGGGTGGGTCAATCGGGTTTCACGGGGCCATTTTTTTTTTTTTTTTACAAATATAAAAAATATGTTTTTCTTTTCCATGTTTGTAAACATCAATTTTTTTAAGAAAATTTTTTTTTTTAAACATCAAAATGTTAGGCGGGTAGATCGGGTTTCACTGGTCAATTTTTTTTTTTTTTTCAAATATACAAATTACATTTTCTTTTTCCATGTTTGTAAACATCAAAATTTTTAGGAAAATTTTATTTTTTAAATATCAATATTTTGGGTGGGTCAGGAGGGTTTCATAGGTCAATTTTATTTTTTAAATATCAATATGGGTCTTAAAGGGTTGACCCTCTACATTTTTTAAATATAATTTTAAAAAAATAAAATAAAATAATAATTAAAGAGTCCACGAGTCATAACGTGTTGACCCTATACAATTTTGACCCGTCAATTTTCAACCCATTTTGAGTGGGTTAAATATGGGTCTTGACCCTTGTTTGACATGCCCATTTTTTAACCTTGCCCAAATCTGACCCGACTTGTCCATCTGTCACTCTTAATATATATATATATTTTAGACCCACGCCAACTGACCAAAGAGTGAGAGGCCATGGTTGTTTCTTGCCTCTGTTTTTACTGCAGCGGCGGCTTGGCGTGGTGTTGTGTGGTGTGTGGTGGAAGAGGTGAGAGGTTAGAGAGAGAGGGAGAGTGGTGAGGTGTACTGTAAGAGCAAAAATGTCATTTAAAAATTATAATATTTTATTATTGAAATTAATAAAATATGAAAAAGTAATATTAACTTTTCACATTTTTAAAGAGCTGTTTGAATCCAATTTCTACAACCATGTCTTGTTTTTTTTTTTTTTTTTCAAAAAAAGAAAAAAAAACCGTGGAAGTTTAATTTATCAAAAAAAAAAAAAAAAAATCTTTTAATTCTGTTAGTTAATAATTTAGGATGACGAGAGTTACACGTGTCATGAATTTGCATTTCATAGAATTGGCGGCGGAGAAAGATGGACTGCGTTTCTCTTGTCGTACAAATGGCATGGTAGAGCAGATCAGTGAACTTTTCTCCAAAAGAAAATGGCACTGTGTTCATCCTCATCATCTTATTCTTCAATAGAAATCTATTTTAATTTTAAAAAGAAAACAAATCATATCATCAATGCTCGCCCAAGACTCACTCTCAGACCTTCCAATTTCGTCAGATCATCCACCATCTACTGTCGTTCCAACCGCTTCTACCAATCAATCTCGTCCCTCGGTTCCATCAAACCTTATGTCCAATCCGAGTGGAAGCCAATTCTTAAGGGCTGGTTATGCAGTGCAGTCTCAGTGTACTCTCTCTCCCAAATCGTCCCTAGGATTGGAAACTTCTCGGTGATCCTGAGTGACCCTGATGTGGTTCGGTTGAGTGAGGAGGGTTTGGTAGTGGGCCTGTTGTTTTTGGTTCGCTTGGTTGCCAATTACTGGCAGCAAGCGTTTCTCTGGGACGCGGCTTTGAATTCTGTGTATAAGGTCAGGGTTCATGTTTTTGAAAGGGTTTTGCAGAGGGATCTAGGGTTTTTTGAAGCTGGTAATGGTGTTTCGTCCGGCGACATTGCCTACCGGATCACTGCTGAAGCTTTGGATGTAGCTGACACTGTGTATGCTATTTTGAATGTAAGTATCTCTATATGTTCACACATGTACCTATATGTGTATTGAGTGCAAGAAATATTGCTATCAGAATGTGCTTGAATTTTTAATATGGAAATTAAAAAGAATTGTCATTGGAGAAATGTATTTCTCGCTCAAGACATTTTTGAAATTCTGTAGTTCTTTCTAAGTTGCAGGATGATGGTGGTTATTGGGTTATAGAGAAGAAGTAATTGCTAAATTGGGAGTTTGGAGGAAATCTCTAGAATTAAAGTTTAAGATAAGTAGGAATAAGACTAAATACATGAAGATGAACTTAAGTAAATCTAGAAATATAAATAGGGATGTAGGTGAAGATTGAGGATCAAGAGGCATAAAAAAGTGAAGATTGAGGATCAAGAGGTATATAAAAGTGAATATTTTCGTGATTTGGCTGAATTATCTATATTGAAGGAGAAACCTTAGATGATGTTGATCATAAAATCAAAGGTAATATGGGTTAAATAGAGAAGTGCATCAGTGTATTATGTGATCGGGGTATCTCGCTAAAATTTAAAGGAAAGTTTTATAACACAACAATTAGCCAACTATTCTTTACGAGAGAGAATATTTGGCAGCTAAGAGACTATAATGGGTGGGGTGCTTGCTTTCTGACCCAAAAGCATATTCAAAGGCATATGAAATGAATGAATGAGATGCACCTGAATCTACCAGTACTCCAACCATTAGCTGGACAATAAGAACATACCTTGAACCATTGATGAAATAACTAAATAGACCCGACCCTGAGTCTTCTGGCTGTGCTAGCCTCCTCCCCATTACCCTATCCGTCGACTTGCGGTACTATGGGTGTCTCCCTTCATAGCCTAGAACTTTGAACTAAGGATGCAAGCTGTGGTAGCTGTGGTGGTCTAAAACCTGACTGAATTGGGGTGTGAACTGTGTACTACGTGGCTGTGGTCGTGTCCCGCTATGAGTGACATCTCCTTGCGGCAATCCCTCCTCACATGACCCGGATGGAAGCAAGTCCTCGAATCTCTGCCTAATGGATGATATAGCTGTGGGCAATCAGATCGGTAGTGGCCAGGCTGACGACATTGGTGGCACTCCCCCTACCCTCGAGAAGACCTCCCAGTCGTAGAAACTGCTGGTTCTGAGCCCCTAGACATGCAAAGTATCCTCCTTTTGCCTCTTAATAGGGTGACTCCCAGTTGTGTGAGCTAGAACCCTTAGACTGCGCAAAACCTCTTCGAGTCCCGCTGACCCTCCTCAACTATCATAGCTCTCTTAACTTGCTTTGAATAGCCCCCAACTTTTGTGGTAAATCCTATCCCTGATACCAATCCTAAGTCCCTTCTTAAATTGTTTCCACTTAAATTCTTCCATAGCCACAAACTCTGGTGCAAAGCGGGATAGTCTTGTGAAACGTGCCTCATATTGGTTCACCGTTGTATCCTTCTATATAAAATTCGTGAACTATCTCTCACAACCTATGAAAAATATTTATCAAGGAACAACCATGTGAAGGTGTCCCACTCTATATTCTTAACATTGTTGGTGTTCTTGATTGTTTTCCACCACTGAGCAACATCACCAGTGAATTGGAAGGAAGCAAAGGAAACCCTCAACTCATCTTCGTGGACTCGGAGAGTATTCAGGATCTTGGTCACCTTCTCTAGTTAATCCTTTGCAACCATAGGATTAGGGTCACCTCGAAACTCAGGCGGGTTCATCCGCCGAAACTCTCATACCAGTCATGGCTCTAGACTCGGCTTCCTAGCTTGGGGTTGAGCCTCACACCGAGCGTTCCTCACCAACTCTTGCATGGCCTCAATCATTTCCTTCACAATTTGGGCACTATCAATGGGCACCTGTTGTGCCTTTGCTGCTGCACCTTTTGCTAAGGCTGCAACTCGGGCTGGGCCAGCCCGAATTTACCCGAGCCCAGCCCGAAATTTTCAGGGCTTGGGCAGTGTTTTTTTGTTCTGGGTCTGGGCTTGGGCTAGATATTCTGAGCCCGAATTAAATTTGGGCTGGGCTTGGATTGATATTATATAAAGCCCGAAGCCCAACCCGAGCCCAAAAAGGGTATATTTATTTTAAAACTATGTTATTTCACAAGTGTATAATAGCTTAGTTGGTAGTGTGTTTGAGATTTTTCTTGGAGGAATGCTGTTCGAGTCCTTGTAGCTGCACAAATTTATTATTTTTTACATTCTGAATACAGAGGCGTGAGCTCATGGGCGGGCTTGGGCATGAGAAGTTAATTATGGGTTGGGCTTAGGTGGCTAGGATTGGGCTTGGGCTGGGCTTGGGCAAAAGATTTTGTACATGGGCTGAGCCCGAATTAAGTCTCTAGCTCGCCCAACCCGCCCGAGTTGCAGCCCTACCTTTTGCTCTACGTGGCGGTATCGTTCTATAAAGTCATAAGAAAAGGGTTAATCATGGTTACATTTTAATGTCCTCAAGTTATTGCAGACATAACATCAGACTTAACACTTGGCACATAACATGCTTCACAAAACATAACATAACAATAAGTTAGACACCTAATTTCAAGTCAACATGTGATTCAAATCCTTACTCATCGTCCTAAGGTGTTCGAACCTAAGGCTTTTATACAACTTGTCACGACCTGCCCCAACATTGTTTGCTTTACACACTCTCCTCTTGGTGCTAACGATTTTCCTTAAAACGCATCTACATAGTTAAGGGTTGTGGAACGTCACAGAGAACATATGCATAACACGAGTGTGGCGGAAATGTGAATGCTGAGATAATGTGCTGCAAGACAAGAAAGAATAGGATTATAAATGAATACATTCATGAAATAGTTGCAGTAGCACTAATTGGAGGTAAACTGAGAGAATTGATTAAGTTGGTTTGAATTATAAAGAAGATATCCAAGTGTGCCAGTTAGAAAGTGCGATGTTGTGGCCCGAATTTTGTTTCAGCCAGGGCTGCACTGCGACCTTGGTTTGATCCCTAAGGAAAATTTTTGACCTTTTTTTTTTTGCTTGCGGGTCTTGGATCCTATTTAGAACTCTCTTGTAGCCTATTATATAAGGGTTTGGAGTGGGTAATAAGAGAACATTGAAAATCGCAAGAAAGAGAGAGAGCGAGAGCCAAGGTTTGGGGGTTGAAAATTGTAATCTCTTGATTTTTGCATAGTGAAATCTTTTGTCGGATCTTCGCCGTGGACGTAGCTCAGATTTTGGGGTGAACCACGTAAACATGTGTTCTTTGTGTGTGGCATTTTTACTTTTGTATTGTGTTTCTTGATTTGTTCTTGGTTTGTTGTGTTTGTCGTAACAGAAAAAGTGACATAGTTCGTGAATGCCAAAATTTATATTTGTAGAGTTGGTAAGGAAGGATATGATAATATGTGATTTTACTAAGTTTATAGCCTTAGATAGATCATAATGCAAATGATGAGATGGATCCGCGGCAATATAAGAAAGGATAGGATTAGAAATGGGCACATTCGTGAAATGGTTGAAGTAACACTGTAGCACCCATTTGAAATAAAATGGAAGATTCAATTAAGATGGTTTGGACATGTACAAAGAAGACCGCTACGCGAGCTAGTTAGAATGAGTGACATGGTCTATATTGAGGGTAAGGCCAAGGGGAGGGCAATGTGCAACAAATAGAAAGAAAACAAAGTTCTCTTGCGATAGTGAAAGTTGTTTTATCAATTAACTTGAAAGGCAATATTAATTGAAGAGGACTTGACAAAGATAGTACTGTAAAAATCAAGTACAAAACGTAGCAGTACCTTATTGCCCTTTGATTTATGAATTGATCTATTTGAATTATGAATTTACCATTTTAACCTTCTTAAATCATTTTAATGGACCCAAATTTTTTTTTGAGTGGGGGCACCGTTGAAGAATAAAAAAAATTGAAGGTAAAAAGTTTTAAAAATAAATATGAGAATTATTAGTGGTTGGAAACAAATTCGACTTAAGTGTGAGTCATAGAAAATAAGCCAAAAATTTAAGTTAGTAGCTGACGAGTGATGTGTATATTATCAATGATAAAAACCACTCGCAATAGAATGAATCCTTGTAAGATAGGGCTATGTTGAGGGTCTCGAACCTCAAGCATTGTGGTGGATTGTTAAGTGTAAAATTAATCCTAATCTAATTCAATGAAATAAGTCTAAATTGCATTAAAACGAAAAGTAAACTAAATTATCAAGTATTGAGATCAAGGGAAGAGGAACATAGGGCTTGACTTCACTGCCAGCCTCGTAACATGGTCAATTGCTTTAACTATGGGGAATTCACTTTTATGTATACTCAGGAATTGATTGACTACAAGTACATTCTAATTCAATTCAAGACGATAATTGATGAATCAACATTAAGCAATAATCTATCTTCGGTTGACACGAATTATCTACCTAACTACTCTAATTTAGGGTGTAGTATAAGTCGTCTTCCTAAGCATAAAGTATCAAAACATTCATTCACAATTCAATTAGGCACCATTGCATGATCACTACTTAAACCGTTAAGAGAAGCCTTTAGCCGCCAATCTCTGATAATAAAAATAGTTTGAGTTTGATTAAAGCAAAATTAATTTTAAGACGAGATCAATTTTATCAAAAACCAATTTTATTCATTAAAAATCTAATTGCTTAGGAAAACTAAGTCAATTGTTCACAATAATGCAATCAATATACATAAACTATAAAATTCCCCAAAGTTGAGAACAATCAAACCATGATACTCGGACTAGGGTTACATCATTGCCCTAAGATGGAATTTAGCTACTCATGGAGAGGAAGGATGTCTTCATTGTTGTTGTAGAAACCATCTCCATGGACCACCAAAAACTCCTTAGGATCTTTTTCTTCAATCTTCAAAAGCCTAAAAGCCGCCAAGCGATATCAAAAGTGCTAAGCGGAAGGAGTCCCCTTTAATGTGTCCTTTTATCTTCTTTTATAGTAGAAACTGAGTCCTAACCCTTCTAGGATGGGCTTTACAGCTTCTGGAGTCAACTGGACTCGTATGGAA